TTCCTGAATCAGTATCCTAAATCATATCATGAAATCTTCTGGGATTTTCACTTTAGTTAGTAATATAAAATATAGGTTTTAGTATAGTTTATTATTTGTGTGACACTGGAATTGTCATTTCAGTCCTCTAAGTCATCCTTTCCCTCATTTGTGTTAGGAAGATGATGTCTATGTTTGAAGATTGTTCTGAGGAACATCACACACACACACACACACACACACACACACGCACAGACACACACACACAAGTGATCAAGTGATTGCCTCATAACACATTGGATGCTCAAAATTTAGTAGCTGCTAATATCGTTTTAAATAAAAATAGTATATTTTCTCCTGCCTTGGAAGAAAGTTTATGAAATCACTTTGAGATATAAATATTTTAGATTAACATTTCATTCATTCATTTGTTCATTCAATCATCTTATAACTAGTCATCAGTTAGGATGCAATACATGTGAATCATGCATTGTGAGAGAGGCATTGTGTAAGGCTCTGTGGAAAAAGAACAGAAGTCAGTCAGCTCCAGAGCCTCAAACTATCAAGGTGTGCAAAATGAAGATATTAGAAATGAAGATGAAGAAGTAGGCATTTTCTCTCTGGAGCAATCAGAGGTAGTCACTTAGAAGAAACGGGTACTAGAGATAGACAGTAGAATACAGATATTCTAGCCAAAGGAAAAGATCCAAAGAAAAGTGAAATGGCTGTTTGTTACCAGTAGTTTATGTTTTGGAATGCTGAAAAGAGGCAAATAGTAGCCTATTTTATGTCTTACATGAAACGAAAGTTATATTCAGAAAACAAGTCCTTACAATTGTGTTTCCATATAATTCTTTACCTATTAAGCATTAAGTGAATTAGAAGCCTTTCTAATTTTTTGTTGATGTTCCTTAAAATCAACTGCATTAGATGTCTGGTAAATGTGTCACTACTTAGGATCATACCCTACAAATAAGTTAGAATGCCTCAGTACCATCTGTCTGTTCTATTTTGGTGTTATGGAGAAATCACTCATTATATCCTCACGTCTATTCTATTTAAAGACACACTTGACCCAGCATAATGGCTTCTTATCACACTCCAGATTAGCCCTGAAGAAATGAACTGGGTTTCCCAAAGACTCTTCTGTCTCATCCCTTACCCTAAATAAAGTATGATGGAATGTAAAGCTGCACAATACCTCTTGATTCTCTCTTTGCTAATACAGCATGTAAATTCTCATGGCTCTGCACCACAGTGTTAAAGGAAGACCTTTGATATTCTAGGGTTCTCAAGACTAAGCCAGCTTTTCCTGTTTTGTTAAGTTGTTACTCTACTTCAAAAAGAGTTTACAATATGATTATGAGTTAAATTATCATCACCATTAGCACCCTGTGTATCCTTTCATAGATACAAAAAAAAAAATGTAAGTCATTCTTTCTATGAGAAGTCAAAGGAACACCAGGAAAATGCAGCTCACTGGAGCCATTTGAACAATGACTGCAAAAATAACATCTGCTCCTTGATTTTATGCTAAATGTATTTTTTAATTCGCTGCAGGGGACACCACTGGCAGCAGTCAGTGTAATTTATCTAAATCTTTAATACTCTGCATTTTATTCAGGAACAGAAATATATTTGCTTTCTAAAGAGCATCAAGAGTAAATGTTAAGGGATTCTTTTTAATATTGTAGGATTATGAGCAGGTATTGAAGCAATCGATTGTGAATGTGTAACTATCCATCACTGCCATCATTAAATGAAATCGCCTTCTGTCATATAAAAAAGGCTTATGTATGTGGGGAGATGTCTGTGTCTATGGATGTATATATGTACATATGGATATTAGTTGGTTGTAATACATAAGAAACATTAAAGACACTACCTGATATAAAAGGAACCATTTAAAAATCTAAAATTCAACAAATACATGGGATATAAAGTTTGGATGTGAAACAATGATTCATTTTATACCAAACTCCTGCAAAAGAAAACTATTCACATTTTCCTTAGTGCAGTGAAGTTTCCAAATAGAAGAGGGGGAGTTTTCAGAGATGTTTCTACTTCACTAGAATTTTAGGCTTTTTTTTAGCCCCGTAAGCACCTCTATTCAACTATTTTTATGTGATTATTTCAACACAAAATCTCCTAAAGAAAGCCTTCCTCTTTACAGTGACATGAACATTAAACATTAAATCTAAATGACTCATTTTCTCTTGTTCTATAATGCCCTCTTTATTTTTCACCCTCAACTAAACTCTATCTTTTGTTATTCAGTTCATAAATCAAATGACTTACTCATTTTTTTCATTGATGCAAACAATATACATTAAGTAACTACTATATTCCAGGTGTTGAGAGTTGTAGAATGTATACAACACATAAATATTTATGCACAAATAATGTATACTTTAAAAAGATATCATAGCTAATAATATGAATTCTTGAATTCCTTCTTAAAACCCATGATTGCCCAATACCATTTTTAGTGATTGCTCAATATTCTGTGGACACACACACACATACATATGTATATACACACATACTGTACTTGACTTTTATGAAGCCACATATTTGGATAGTTTATATACAGATGTGTGTGTATGTGTGTGTATACATATACACACATATATATACATATATATATATATATATATATCTTTGTGCATGTACATATTGTACTTGATTTTACTAGGCTACATATTTGTATACTTACCATACTGTCACCTTTTCCTGAACAACAACAATACATTCTGAAAAATCCAACTTTGAGCAATTTAGTCATTGTGTGAACATTGTAGATTGCACTTGAACTAAACCTAGGTGGTATATCCTAATACACACCTAGGCTATATGATATAGCCTATTGTTCTTAGGTTATAAATCTGTACAGCTTGTTACTGTACTGAATAGTATAGATCAGTGGTCTCAGACTTCTTCTGCACCAGGGACCAGTTTCATGGAAGACAATTTTTCTGGTTTTTTTTTTTTAATTTTTATCTTTTTTTTCTTTTTATTGTACTTTAGGTTCTGGAGTACATGTGCAGATCTTGCAGGATTGTTGCATAGGTACATACATGCCATGGTGATTTGCTATCTCCATCCCTCCGTTACCTACATCAGGCTTTTCTCCCAGTGCTATCCCTTCCCAACCTCCCCTCCCCCTGCTTTCCCTCCCCCCTAGTTCTCCACCCCCCAACATACCACAGTATGTGATGTTCCCCTCCCTGTGTCCATGTGTTCTCATTGTTCAACACCTGCCTATGAGTGAGAACATGCAGTGTTTGGTTTTCTGTTCTTGCATCAGTTTGCTGAGAATTATGGTTTCCAGATTCATACATGTCCCTACAAAGGACATGAACTCATCGTTTTTTATGGCTGCATAGTATTCCATGATATATATGTACCACATTTTCCTAGTCCAGTCTATCATTGATGGGCATTTGGGTTGGTTCCAAGTCTTTGCTATTGTAAACAGTGCCACGGTGAACATACATGTGCATATGTCTTTATAATAGAATAATTTATAATCCTTTGGGTATATACCCAGTAATGGGATTGCTGAGTCAAATGGAATTTCTATTTCTAGATCCTTGTGGAATTGCCACACTGTCTTCCACAATGGTTGAACTAATTTACATTCCCACCAATAGTGTAAAGGTGTTCCTATTTCTCCACATCCTCTCCAGCATCTGTTGTCTCCAGAATTTTTAATGATCACCATTCTAACTGGCTTGAGATGGTATCTTGATGTGGTTTTGATTTGCATTGCTCTAATGACTAGTGATGATGAGCATTTTTTCATATGTTTGTTGGCCCCATAAATGGAAAGACAATTTTTCTGTGAACCAGGGTGGGAGGGATAGTTTCAGGATGATTGAAGCATATTACATTTATTGTATACTTTGTTTCTATTAACATGTAATGAAATAATTATACAACCTACCATACTGTAGAATCAGTGGGAGCCCTAAGCTCAGTTTCTTCAACTAGATGGCCCTATCTGGAGGCGATGGAAGATAGTGACAGATCATCAGGCATTAAAGTCTCATAAGGAGAACCCAGCCTAGATCCCTCATATGTGCAGTCACAATAGGATTCGTGATTCTGTGACAATCTAATGCTGTCAGTGATCTGACAGGAGGCAGAACTCAGACAGTAATGTGACCAATGAGAAGCAGCTATAAATACAGATGAAGCTTCCTTTGCTCTCCTACCTCTCACTTTCTGCTATGTGGCCCTGTTCCTAACAAGCCGTGGACCATGGACTGCCAGTTGGGGGCCCCTGCTGTAGAAAATTGTAACACAACCATATTCATGTATCTAAATATATCTAAACATTAAAAAGGCACAGTAAGGCTGGGTGTAATGGCTCATGCCTGTAATCCCACAGGATAAGGCAAGTGGATCACTTGAGCTCTAGACTACCCTGGCCAACATGGTGAAACCCCATTTCTACTAAAAATACAAAAATTAGCTGGGGATGGTGGCATGTGCTTATAATCCCAACTATTTGGGAGTCTGAGGCAGGAGAATCACTTGAACCCAGGAGGAGGAGGTTGCAGTAAGCCAAGATGACACCACGGTACTTGAGCCTGGGTGACACGGCAAGACTCCATCTCAAAAAATAAAAAAAAAAAAAAATAGAAAGGTACAGTAAAAATACGGTATAAAAAATTAAAGTGGTACATCAGTAGAATCCCTAAACATGAATGCAGCTTGCAGCAATGGAAGTTGCCCTGGGTGAGTCAGGGAGTGAGTGGTGAGTGAATGTGAAGCCCTAGGATATTACTGTATAGTACTGTAAACTTTATAAACACTGTACTTAGAATACACTACATTTAGAAAAAGTATTTTATTTCTTCAATAATAAATTAGCCTTAGCTTTTTTTTACTTTTTGACTTTTTTGTAACAACACTTAGCCTAAAACACAATCTACAGCTATGCAAAAAAATATTTTCTTTTCCTATATATGCTTTTTCCATGTATGTATTTTTTACTTTTTTTCATTGTCTTTGTTAAAAACCAAGACACAAACACACACATTAGCCTAGGCCTACACGGGGTCAAGATCATCAATATCACTCTCTTCCACCTCCACAGCCTGTCCCACTGGAAGGACCTCAAGGGCAATAACACGTATGGAGCTGTCATCTCCTATTATAACAAAGCCTTCTTCTGGAATACCTCCTGAAAACCTGCCTGAGGCTGTTTTACTGTCCACTTTTTTTATAAATAAAAGGAATACACTGCAAATAATGATAAAAAGCATAGTATGGTAAATATATAAACCAATAACACAGTCATTTATGATTATTAAATATGTATTCTACATAATTACATGTGCTGTACTTTTACATGATTGGTAGCACAGTTGGTTTTGCTTATACCAGTATTACCACAGACACATGAGTGATAAATTGTGCTATGATAACAAAATGTCTATGAGGTCACAAGGCAATAGAAATTTTTCACCTCCATCATATGGGACCATCATCATATATGCAGTTCATCACAATCAAAATGTTTTTATGTGGTACCTGACTGTATACATATATTCATATGGGTGTGTTTTTGTGTGTTTGTATGTATACACACTTGAGTTTTTTCAGGCTACCTATTTTTGCAACATTTCATAGGCATGCATTTTAACCATCATCAAGGATTGTAATCAATATTCAGTAAATAATATTTTCTTATTAGAACAGTGTTTGTTTGAATAAATTCTTAAAAGTGCAATTTCTGAATGAAAAGTATATAAAGATTTACAGCAAAGTGGGGGCCCCCTAATGGTATACTACTGTTAAGTTTTTAGTAGATTTAAAAAAAAATATTAGCAGTGTTGCATATGGTAAGAAGAAAGGAATGTGGTAAAAATGTTTTATGTATTCAGATATTTAGAGAGCTTAGTATAAAATTTAGATAAGCAAATGGAGAAAAAACTCTTTTGCCTCTTCTTTATTCTTCCTTTACATGAAAGGTTTTTATTGCCTACAATTTACGGATAGACTTCTGGAGTTCAGGGAATCTCTTGAAATTGACTACGGAACAACAGTCTTGTTATGGACTGGGAAAGGTGGAGAGAAAATGATATAATAGAGAGAAAAACATTTATCTACATTACAGGTTAAAAAGAAAATTCAATTCAATGTCTTCTGAGTGGTATTAATTTCATTCCAGTAATCTAGGAAATTGAAAAAGCCCAATTTTTTGTACACCTGTGATATAGTCACCTAGAGATCTCTTGTACTGTTTGTTTTTCTTTGTATTATATTTAATCATAATCCATTGATCAAGCTTATTATTATAGTTTATTTACTTAATGTTTTTGGCTTATTAAGGCTCATCTTTAGAGACAAATGGCAACCTCATCCAAAGGTTGACCTTAGTCAACCAATGGTTGTGTACAACCAGTGGTGTGTACATACCATATCAGGCATTATAATAGGAGCTCTGAAAGTTGTCATATTTTTGAGTGGGGCATTTCTCTGGATGTATTGCCTTAACATTTTCTAACTACTGTTTTTATGTATTTCTTCATCTTGAAAATATATGTTCTTATATTGAAATATTCACTTTAATTTATATTTTTACATGAATAGCTCTTTACCATTGATATTTGTGTTATCTGTGGTAGGTATCATGAGCAGTTAAGGATGATGGGTTTTTTTTTTCTTAACTTTTAGTTTAGGTTCAAGGACACATGTGCAGGGGTGTTATATATGTAAGATGCATATCACTGGGGCTTGTTGTACAGATTATTTTGTCACCAAGGCAATAAGTATACAACTTGCCAAGTATTTTTTTAATCTTCCTCCTCCTACCTCCCACCTTCAAGTAGGTTCCAGTTTCTGTTGTGTTCATGTGTTACCATTATTTAGCTTGTATAAAAATATAAAACAGAGAAATATCTGTTCAGTTCCTTTGACTGTCTTTAGTAGTCATCTTACATTTTACTTGACAATGGCACATATAATATTTTGCTAATATAATTAATAAGTTAAGTTGGAAAAGTTAAATTTTTACAAGACCATGTGTTCAAAATAATCCTCAAAAGAAATAAAATGTTAGTATAGATGGCATACAAAGAGAGTTGTAGTAGAAAATTCAATATATAGAAAAATAAATTGGGGCATTCATTTATACAGGAATTCTATTTTCTCTGCAAATTATATATATATATATATATATATATATATATATACACACACACACACACATATACATATATATATATGTTTAAAAATACATTAGTCACATGAAGCAATTTCTAAAACTCAGAGTTTTAGTAAGGAATTATTATTCTTTTATAAAGAAAAGAGATTTCTTTGACTCATGGTTCTGTGTTACAAGAAGCATGGTGTCAGCATCTACCTCTAGCAAGAGCCTTAGGAAGTTTTCAATCATGGTAGAATGGAGCAAGCATCACATGGTGATGAAGATAAAAAGAGAGGAAAGGAAGTGCCAGACTCTTTCCAACTATCAGATCTCAAAATAACTAATATATTGAAATTACCCACCAGGAAGACAAGGATGGCACCAAGACATTCATGAGGGATCCACAACCACAATCCAAACACCTCCCACTACTTTGCTCATTTTTAAAATCAGGTTATTTGTCATTTTTGCTATTAAGTTGTAGGAGCTCATTAAATATTTTAAAAAGTAGTTCCTTGCCATATATAGTCATGTACCACATATGATGTTTTGTTAAACAATGAAATACACACATGATGGTGGTCCCATATGTTTGTAATACTATATTTTTACTGTGCAATTTTATGTTTGGACACATTTAGATACACAGATACTTACTATGGTATAACAATTGCCCTACAGTATCCAGTACAGTAAAATGTTGTACAGGTTTATAGCCTAGGAGCAAAAGGATATACCATATAGTCTAGATGTGTAGTAGACTATGACTACCTACATTTCTGTAAGTATACTCTACGATGTTGGCACGATGAAATCACCAAGGAATGCATTTCTCAGAATATATTCTTGTTTTTAAGTGATACACGGCTATATGTAGTTTGCAAATATTTTCTTCCTTTCTGCATATTTCCTTTTTCATTCTGATTCTTTTCTTTGCAAAACAGAAGGCTTTTTTAGTTTGATTTAGTTCCATTTGTTTGTTTTGCTTTATTGCCTGTGCTTTGGGTATTATATCCACAAAACCGTTGGCAACACTAACATCAAGAAGCTTTTCTTTTTTTAGTTTTTTTTTCTGTAGGAGTTTTACAGTTTCAGGTTTTTACATTTAAGTTTTTAATCCATTTTGAGTTGATTTTTCTGTGTGGTAGAATATAAAGATCCAATTTTATCCGTTCACTTGTGGATACTCAGTTTTTTCGCCATGATTTGTTAAATAAACTCTTCTATCCTTATGTATTTGTGGTATCCTTGCCAAAGATTAATTCAACACATATGTGTAGGATTTTTTTTTTCTAGGCTCTCTGTTCTGTTCCATTGGTCTATATATCTGCCTTTATACCAATACTATACAGTTTTGATTACAGTAGCTTTGTAATATAATTTGAAATTAGAAAATGTGATGCCCCCAGCTTTGTTTTTCCTTGATTGTTTTGATTATTCTAATTTGGCTTCTGTGGTTTTACATAAATTTTAGGATTGTTTTTAAACCCAAGTTCTTTCAACAGATCAACAGAGAAAGGAAATGTGGATTGTACATACCATGGAATATTACTCAGCTGTAATAAATAAGGAAACCTCACTATTTGTGACAACATAGATGAATAGGTGACCCTGGAGGACATTATGCTAAGTGAAATAAACCAATCACAGAAAGATAAACATTGCACAATTTCACTTATATTAGGTATATACGTAATAGAAAAACTTGTAATAGCAGAGAATACAATAGTGGTCTCTAAGAGCTGTGGGGGTGGGGGAAATGGGGAATGTTTTCAATGAGTATAAAATTTTAGTTTTGCTAGAGGAATAAATTATAGAGATCTGCTGTACAACATAGTGCCTGTGTAACAGTATGTGCTTAGATAACAATATGGAATTGTGCAGATGAAAATTTGCTAAAAAGTTAGATCATGTACAGTGTTCTTATCACAAAAAGTAGGGATGGGTCACAAAAAACTTTGGAAGGTGGTGAATATGTGTATTACCTTGATTGTGGTGATGGTACCACAGATGTTTGCATATATCCAAATCAACAAATTACACAAATTAAATATGTGCAGTTCTTTGTTTATTAATCATACCTCAATAAAGCTGTTAATAAATAAATAAAGCAAGCAAGCAAACAGCTTTAAAATGGCACTAAGTTAAAAATCTTCATAAATATTAATTTGTTCTAAAATCAATTTATGGTAAATATACAAAAATAATAAGGTATTATGTTGTCTGTATAATTTGTCTACAGAAACTTATAAAAGTGACTGAACCATCTCTTCTTTTGAGGAGCTATGCTAAGCAGTATACCTTTCAAACTGCCTTTAAGAGTATCTGCCACACCAGTGCACAACTGTCTTGGACCATAGGGCTATTACTATACCATGCAATATTGCCTTGGGAACTCCACCTCCATGCTTTCTTGGTCATATGCTCATCTACTTTAGTAACCCTCATTCACTAGTTCTCCCACTGATCCTGTCACAGTGCTGTAAATTGCATAGTTTATTTTCACTCTTTACTAAGCAATCTGATTTGGTAATAATCTATCTTGAGTCACTGTAAAACATTTTAAAATATTTTCTTACTGGCTTCATAGATATTGCATAATCTCATTTGTTCTTCAGTTTTCAAGGTATCGTTCATCAGACCTATATTCTACTAAGCTCGCTTTTCAGTCACACTTATCCTCTGTAAATAATTTCTCCTTTCTTGGAAAATATAGGTCAAATCATTAGTTAAATTTTTACCAAGAAACTTTGTCTCTAAACATTCAAGGTCAACAATATGCAATTTTAGGCTAGATACTTTACTTTCTGAGCTATAGCTTTTGCATCTATAAACTAATAATAAGATGTGGCTACTATAGTTATTGTGTCAAAGGAGATTATATGTGATAGGTTCCTATTACATGATATATGTTTACACAATGTTAGTTCCCTTTAGCACTGATTTATTTAGATATTTTTTAATCAGATAATGGAAATGATGTAATGCAATAGTATGTTGGTCAAGGATAGATTGATGTTTCTGTGACCATTTGCTCTAATAATTCAGCCCCTCTGAATGAGGAAACCTTCATCACCTAGGAAGATGGCTTACCTGCCTCTATCATTAAAGTAGAAAACAAGGTGGCTGGGTGTGACAGCTCATGCCTATAATCATGCCTATAATCCCAACACTGCGGGAGACTGTGATCTTTCTGCCTCAGTCTCCCGCAGTGTTGGGATTATAGGCATGATTATAGGCATGAGCAAGACTCCCACTCTACACAGACACACAAATTACCCAAGATTAGTGATGGACACCTGTAATACTCGTTACTTGGGACATTGAGGCAGGAGGATTGCTTGAGTCCTGGAGTTTAAGGCTGCAGTGAGCTATGATCATGCCACTGAATTCCAGTCCAGCCTGGGTGACAGACGAGACACTGACTGAAAAAAAAAAGAAAAAGAAAAAAAGAAATATAGGAATATAAACTGTAATAAGAAAATCTACTTTCCATGTGAGAACTTTCCCTTGAGTGAGCTTTATTCATGACTTGCTTCCTGGAATTGCTGGGGTCTCTTCTACTTACCAGTGACTTTTTCACCGAAAGGATACTCCACTAATGTATCTACTTTTTGCTGCTTGTAACAGAACTTCAGGATTTCCTGTGCTTTTGGCCATGGCTCATGGCATATATGCTCTTATTTGTGATATTCACCTATGATTGAGGTCAATGACAAAATCTCTGCCTCAATGAAAACAGAGGATTCACCCCAATAACTATTCCAGTAAAACAATACACCAAATAGTAACATTTTTAAAACTCAGTTAGAGCCTGTGGTTTTATTCAACCTAAACTGGGAAGCTGTTATCTTGAAGTTATGACACTGGAAACAGTAGTATTTATTATATTTATACCTCAGATATTCTTCCACTCACTGCTAACTCATGATTTTAGAAATACCATGACTATAGTCAAGGTGAATTCAATATCTGTTTCTCTTTACGGTTTATGGAAATGGCTAAGGAGATTTGAAGAACAGCCTCTCTTTGGGCTGACAGAAGCAGAGTTCTGGCCCTCACCATTTTTTCATACATATATATATATATATCCTTATGTTAGAAGGCTAAATGAGGTTCTTCTTTTTCTCCATTTCAAAATGCCCCATAAAGGAGAAATAGGCCCTTATTATTTGGGGTAAGAATTTGTGGTAGAGTTCCATCTCCTGACTAAAAAAAGACACTGAGCCACAAAGTTAAATTTTAAAAGCAGGCAAATTTTTTATTTCTCAGCTGTAGCACTTAGGTCGATATGGCCAGACCCTTGTGGAGTAACAAAAAACTGATTTCTAAATAAATGAGGAACAAGAGAGCATTTTACTTCCCAGGATTTACTCTGTTCTCTACTTAAAAGACACAATTATATTTTTTCTATTTTCTTTTCTTTTAGCATAAACTAGGCAGCTTATCATAAAACTCACATATTTGTGGTGAATAGAAACCCTCAAATAACACTAAAAGTGCGTTAAATGCACCTCCCTTTTCAGCTTAGTTGCTAAGAATCTCAGAGCCAAATTGAATGGCCTCAAATTACAAATTTATGATGTTAGAAGTTATTATCTTAGGTTCACATGGATGGGTTTCATAAATTTGGTGAAATCCCTGAAATATATATATAATATATAAATTAAATAAAATATTATATATA